CCCCCGGCAGCCTGGCCGCACAGCGCGTCCGCGGCTCTCACCTGCTCCTCCTCCTCGTCGTCGTCGCCATCAGCGTCCTGACACGCTGTCTGCAGGAGGGGAGTTCAGCTCAGCCTGGGCTCTCCCGCCCCTTCTCTCCGCGCCGGCCCCTCGCCCCGCAGCCCGCCCACCCGCTCACCTGCCGCTGCAGCACGGCCTTGAGCACGCCGCAGAGCTCGGCGAGACGCCCAGGGGGCTGCAGCGCGAGGGGCCCGCAACCACGCAGCACCCCCGTCAGCGCCTCGAGCACGGCCATCACCACCTGGCGCTCCCGCTCCCCGCTCACCGCCTGCATGTAGGACGGCACCACCCGGGCCAGGGCGGCCTGCAGAGCTGGGGGCATCGTTGGCTGAGGCCCCAGTCAGGCCCTGGCCCCCACCCCCCACCCCTGCCCCAGCACCGTCCCCGGCTTCTGGAGGCCCCGGCCTCCCCTGCTCACCCGTGGTGCTGGATCCCGAGGGGCAGCTCTGACAGGCCTTGTGCAGTGCACAGCAGAACTGCCCCAGGGCCTCGTGGGCCGCCTTCCGCACGTTCGGGTGAGGGCACTGCGGGACGAGGACGGGCGGGACGGGCCTGTCATGTTCCCGGCCAGCGCAGGGCCCCGCACAGCCCACCCGCTCCGTCCACCTGGCCCTCTCACCTCCAGCAGCTTGAATACTTCTTCGAAGACACTCTCCATGTACGGGAGGAAAGCCACACTGTGGACAGACACACAGCCGTGGGGAAGGAGCTCCCAGGCGGGGTTCCCAGGGCCAGGAAAGGGCCGAGGCTCACCTGCTGTTCACAGAGATCTCCCCCAGAGCAGCACAGGCATCTTCCTTCTCGTCGAAGAAGGCGTTCTCCACGCTGTACCTACAGTAATGGGGGGAGGCACCAGCGGGGGTGGGTCCGGCACGGGGCCCTCGCCCAAAGCCGGGGTTCCTCGGACCAGAACGGCACCCCTCCGCACCCTGAGATCTCGGAGTCGTCCTCCTCTTCCTCATCCTTGTCCATGAGCTCCTCCTCTTCCTCCTCTTCACTCTCGTCGTCAAACAGAAGGAAGGAGATGGTTCCGTCGTACTGAGGCTGGCCAGACGAGACACAGCAGGGACCCTGGCTCAGCCGCGCCCAGGTCTCGATGCTGCCCCAGGGCTGCCCTTCCCCAACCGACCCAGCCCACCCACTCTCCGCTCACCACAATGCCCTCAGTGGAGCGCAGGGACAGCAGCATGAGTGTGGTGATTTGTGGCAGGTGGGGCGCCAGGCCCTCACCCATGAGCCCCGATAAGGCTGCGAACAGGCTGTACCTGGGGGAGGCAGGTGGAAGCCGTACAGTCCCGGCTGCCGGAGCCAGACAGAACGGGGGAGCCCGGGGCAACCCACGGTCTGGAACCAGAGGACCGGGTTCCAGGCTCAGGGCTGGGGGTCCAGTGGGTGGGCAGGAGGCGCGGGGCGGGGTGGGAGCTCACTCACGTGCAGCGCCGCAAGTCAGGGTCGTCTACCTGGTCACACAGGCCCAGCCCCAGCTGGCAGCACTCCTCAGCCAGGGGCCTCATGGGCTCCCCCACTGCTCGAGCCAGCACCCCCAGCGTCTCTGTGGGGCAAGCGCTGGGTTAATGCTAGGATGCGACGAGGAGCCAGAGGGGCGCAAGGCCAAACCGTGGGGAACCGAAGACGGCAGCTGGGGGGCAATTCAGCAATCCCACTTTGCTGAGAAGATAGCTGTGCTGCCCTGGGGGAGAGCTCCATGAACACCTCGGCCCTTCCCCGGCCCTGGGAACCCTGCCTGAGCCCCTGACGCACCCAGGCTCTGGATCTGCACAGGCTGGAGGTCCTCGCGGCCTGGCAGCAGGAATCCCCGCAGGTGCTCCATGATGGTGGGGAAGTAGGGCAGCAGGGAGGCCTGGGCAGCTGTGGCTGGGAGACGGAAGGACAGGGACTCAGAGCTGGAGTGGGGACCACCGGGACCACCTGCCCCAGGCTACCTGGGGAAACCCGGGACCCTGCCTCCTTCTCCTCACCAATGGCCCCCAGGGCGCTCACGGCCAGCTCCTTGGCCCGGGGGCTGCTGGGATTCCGCAGAGGCTGCAGCATACACTCCATCAGCTCCGGAAGGTAGGGCTGCACCTTGGGCCCTGTGGGAAAGGGCAAGCCTCTAACACCCAGTCCAGGTGCTCCCACATTCTGGGGGGGCCCTCCCTGCCTCCAGGCTGACCTCTAACATCCAGCCCAGGGCTCCCTGGGGGCCTGCCACACTCCTCTCCACCGCAGACAGCGGTTCAGGGGGTTGCATGTCCCACCCCCTTCATCCAAAGTGACAGCTCTGTCCCCTCCGTCGCACGCCCAAGGGCCATCACCTACCTAGGTTCTCCACGAAATTCTCCAGAGCATAGCAGGCCTTGGCGAGGTGGTTTGTGTGCCCGGGAGGCACTGACTTCAGGTAGGCGAGAAGCAGTGGCATCACCTCC